AAAAAAAAATACCTGAAATTTGGGTTTAGTCGACCGTCTTTGGCTTAAAAAACAGTCTACAAGTGTTGAGAATTTTTCGTTAGGATGGAAGTCTCTTCTCTATGCAGCTTCCGGTCCATCGCCTGTTTTCGTCTCCTTGAAAGACTTTTCCGGTTTTCAGTTTTTCTGTCCCTTACGGAGCAAGCGTTTTACAAATGTACTTTCTTTTTTGATTTCTATAGAGAATAAAGTGATTTTGTTTATTGAAAACAAACAAACAAAAACAATTATACTTCCTTTTTTTTTTGTATGTGTGTTTGTGTTGTCTCTACATTTTCCCAAATGACGTCAAGGCGAAACGGTGAGTTTAAAAACAAAAAAGGAAAGTGAAAACAAAACAAAATCTTCATGGCCAAAACACTAGACGATTCTATTAGACGATCAGCTGTGATCAATTTTACAGCATCTATGTGCGTTTGAAGGAGAAATCTACTTAACAAGTGAATGAAGCAAGTCTGACCAATAAATTCTATCTTCTCTTGGGTGTTCCCAACCCGGCATTTCTGGAATTGATTTGTCCAAGCAGATGTCTATATTGGTTACTTGCTATTTTTCTTCTTTCTTTTTGTTTACCCACTAGAAGTCCTAACTGGGGTTGTTTTAAGGGATGGGGATATGTAGGATAGATAATGGTTAACCAGGGACTTGAAGAGGTTAAGATTGTAGCGATCAGGGAAACATCCTCTCGGGGGGGGGGTCTATTCCACAAAGAAACAATTCTAGGGAAGAAGCTGTGTAAGCCGAACGTTCTCCTTTACGCGCGGAATATAAAGGGAATTAAATCCTCGCTGTGAAGGTCTGAAGTGGTGGAACCAAGGGATGTAGGTCGCCCGAATATCTGACATGAAAAACTGTTCCATCATGTAACAGTTGTAGAGAATAACCTATCAGAGATTAACTTAGTCCTTATCAAATGAACACAAAGGGAATATGGATGAGCCGACTCTGTGTACGCGGCATGACTTTTCCGAGATGTGAAGGTCTGAACTGGGAGCATTAAGGAATGTAGCCCTTCCGAACATTTCCCATGAATACCTGTCTCTACTTCTGAGATGAGGTATTGTAATTATTTACATCGTTCGGACTGTTCTTCTCATCTTTATTGCCATATTCACGACGTTTCGACCGTTATACGCTCCGGACTTCTTCGAAATACCAATTACCTGAAGAAGGCTGAAGCGTACAACGGCCGAAACGTCGTGAATTATGGCAATAAATATTAGGACAACAGTCCGAACAATGTAAATAATGTTAATAATTTGCCATGAAAATCGTGATAGAGACGCGAAAATAATTTATCACCCACAAGGCCGCGTAAATTCTTTTGAACTTTATCAATTTTGGAAAGTGAAGATTGAGCAGATTTTGCGGGGAACAAACGAAATGGATCTTCCTCCTTACTAAAGGTATACCAAGGGAATACAGATTGTGTCATAGTGGTTCTTAGATGTGAAGGTCTGAACTGTTGGAAATAAGGGACGAAACTCGTTAGAACATTTGCCATAGTAATAGCGAACGGCTATCGAGAGGCTAGGAATGTTTCGACTGGGAGAAAGTGTTTCCCAAGCGTTTTGGGCCACAACTCTGAAAACAAAACTGGCGAGGAAAAATAATATCAAAGTTCCTTTATTTAGTTTTACCATTGTCTTCTGATTAATTTTAAAATTGCTTCTTCTTTTTCTTTTTCTTCTTCCTTTATGTGCCGTGTCCCTTCAGGACGTTGGTGTCATGGCTCTCCACAGTTTCCTATCCTTTTTCAACATCTCTCAAAACCCCGCTCTGCTATTCATTCCCTCAATCTCGCTAGGTTTGTTATGCGTTGTTTTCCTCTACCCCACTTGCCTTCGAGCTGTCCAGTGAGTATCAAATTTGCCAAGCCCTCTTTCTTCATTATATGCCCTAGAAATTTCAACTGTCCTTCTCTGATGTTAACTATGTGTCCTTTTTGTTTCCATTGTCTCAAAATTTTGTCGTTGCTCACATATTCGGTCCATGGTATTCTCAGCATCCTTCTGTGGGACTACATTTCTGTTGTTTCAAATTACTTACCTGTTCAAATAAAGCCATCGTCTGTCCTGAAAGTGATAGCTACCCATTATTTACATAACAGATTGGGAGTCGTCATCATGATCAGTGCTATGACTGAGTGTGATCGTAGGGTCACTGCACAGCTGAGGCCAGTACCCTCCACCTATTTGTGTTGAAAGCCGAAGAAGCATTCAGTCATGCATCGCATGTTATAGGAAAATAGAGTTGGTTAATCTTATTCCTCTCTAGGTAAAACCACAGATGATATCCTTCAACTTGAAGGCTCGTCTTGGTCATGGATACGTGGCCGTTGATTTACTCAGAACTCTCAACCCAGGCTGTTGACTCTCCCCGGCAATGCTATGTCATCACCACAGTGGTGGCATGTATAGCTATGGAGCCTAGCCTACCCCATGGTTCTAGATGGTCTTTGATCCCAGAAGAACGTTTGCCATTTAATAGGTCTTCTTTTTAATCCTGCTCGGAATAACCATCCTCATCACCAGAAAAGCCTGATGGAGAAAGCACCGATAATCCAACTATGCGGCAAGTAATACCCATGCTACCACTAAGCCCTGTACAATGACCTGACATAGCAGATTTGGGAGTAAAGAGAACTAGGTAATATGCTTTTAAATGGTATTTCTGGACGAAGTTTTGAACTGATTCAGTCTTTCTTATCGAATCGCGAAATGAAAGTTGTCATGAATGGCCACTCTTCTAGATCTTGTTAAATAAATGCAGGTGTTCCCCGGTGCTCTGTCCTTCGACCTACGTAGTTTCTAATTTTCATTCTTGATGTCATCAGTTCACAACTTGGTATCCCTGCTAATGATGACAACTATTCTCGCCTAAATAGTAAGTCTAAGCGGTTCAATAAAGTCTAATTGGTAGCTGATCTAAAAGATGATTTTATTGTGAACTGGGGCAAAGAAAGGCTTGTTCATTTTAACGCTTCCAAAACGAAACTGCTCACTTTTAAACGTCCGCGCGAACGCGTTTTGCCTTCTATCAGTATGGCTGATGCTAACCACCAAGAGAGTGACCCATTGCGCCTTCTAGGACTAACGTTCTCGGCTGACATGAAGTGGAAAGATTATATTAAATCACTTGCTGGTTATCTGTGTCGTGCTAGACAATTTTTCCCGACAGAATCTATCTTGTATTTTTATAAGTCTACCAATCGTTCTTGATTTGAATACTCTTGTCAGATCTGGTCTTGTGCTCCTGCTATATATTTAAAGTTATTTAATAAAATACAAAGAAGAATTTGCAATGTTATTGGTCATGACCTGGCACCTCGGCTTCAGTCCCTTTCCTACTACCTTAACGAAACTTCCCTGTACTTTTTCTATAAACACTTTCATGGTAATTATTCAGATGAACTTTCATCTATGGTACCTAGAGTTTATGAATTTAAGCGCAGTACTAGATTGGCGGTTAGGTCTCATCGTTTTGCAGTTGAAATGGCTAGATGTAACCGCAAGTTTTATGCTAATAGTTTCTTCTGTCGTATTTTTCCCTATTTCTCTTCCGGTTTCTTGCTTCTCACTCAACTTTGACCTTCCAAAAATTGAAATTCAGTGTCAATCCTTATCTAGTATCTTTTTAATTCTTGTACTTGTTGTCCTCTCTCCTTAATAGTGTTTTTTCTCATATTGTCTAACACTCAATAGCCACTTGCGTTTTAGTGGCTTTATTGTTACTAAATAGTATAAATGATAAATTTTATAATATGACGTATATAAAATAAACGTGTATCAAAAAGTTAAAATCTATCAAACTGCTTTAATTACAATTTTGATAATACAGAGTGCCACATAAATAACTTCAATATATACCTCCAAGAAGTATCCCCCCTTTCATAATGGTACCCTCCTTTCATAATGGTACCCCCTTTCATACTGTTACGACATTGGCTAGACGAAGACACCATTGTCATAATTTTGTGATCTTTATAATTAAGCAAGTTTTGTTGATGTCCCTTATCATTAAATTGCTTAGTTACTCAAATGAAGTATTTCTGCTTTGAAACGACCTCAGCATTTAGATCACAGCTGATCGCAAGATAACTACAAAGTCATGTTAAAAGAGGGAGCACAAGCGTGCGTGGGCCGGGGAGAAAAATTGCTCACTTCCCTTTTTGGGAATTCTTAGGCGCCAGGTAACGACACTAGTCCCCTCACGAATATGGTGGGGACGAAGCCCTGGGACTGAACATATATTACTATAATATATATATATATATATATATATATATATATATATATATTTACAGAACTTAGATTATAGATTCATTTGTAATTTTATCTCCTTGATACAAATGTACATGGGCCAGGGGTCAAAAATTACTGAAACATCTTCAACACTTTGCCTTTAGGGACGACCTAGGCGCCATATATTTACCCTAGGTCCTTCAATGAGACTTGTGCTCATAATAATAAATGTAAATTTCGCAAAAACGAGCTTTTATTATTGGATTTATTTGTACGCCCACACTGAACAAATGGCGTACAGAGTGCGACTTTTGTGTACATGAGCGATGGGTGTAAAAATTGCTCAGCCCACTCAGCATTTCCTGTTTGGCGGCACCAGGAATTAACCCTTCCCGGGAGAGTTATATTGCGTCAACGGGGCTTAAATTAATAAATGTATCGATTGATTGGCTGGCTGATTTGTTCTTTACGGTTTATCTACTTATCATTTAAAACCGGAAATTATTTTTGAATTACATGAATTTTTTGGAGCTAATACTGATTTACTGATACAAGTCCTACTATTTAATCCATATCTGGGGGGAGAAGAGATAGATTCATACCTTTCTCAAAGGTATCTGTGCGTAAATGAATATAACGAGCCCGACTGGAATTGAAACGACTCTCCGACTTCCAATTCCGAGCCGTTATTCATTACACCACCCGCACATCCCACTTTACAGCATCTGGTATTCCCAAGCGGTCACCCATCTTGGTACTGACCAGGTTTGACGTTGCTTAACTTCGGTAATCGGACTAGAACTAGTGTTTCAACGTAACATAGCTGTAAATCCTTTAATAAATTTAAAAAGCCGCTAAATTTGGTTTTATTTATTGGATTTATTTCTGGGTCCATTTTGAACAAAATATGACGAAATATCGAGTTTGCAGTGGGACCCCACGTGTACATGGACTAAGAATCAAAATTTCTCATGGCCTACCTGCATTTCTTGTTTGGGGACGGCTTAGGCGCTAGGGATTAACTCTAGCGCCCTCCTAAAGAAGAGGTATTGCTTGGGAAAATTCTTTTTCTTCTATGTGACGTGTTCTTTCACATAAGGGATCATGGCTCTCTACAATTTCCTGTCCTCCGTACTCTTAATAAATTGTGTCTTTTTGTTATTTCTCCTAAACCTTGATCCGCCACGAATTTACTCAAGCTCACTAAGTAGGTTATGCGTTGTTTTTCTCTGCCTCTCTTGCTTTCAATCTGTCCTGTGAGTATCAGATTTTCCAAGCCCTCTTTCTTCATAATGTGCCTTAGAAATGTCAACTGTCTCTTCCTGATGTCAAGTCTAAGTTTCCTTTTTGTTTCTATTTTCTCTAAAGCTTTGTTGTTGCTCACATGTTTGGTCTATGGTATCCTCAGCATCCTTCTGTAGAACAAAATTAGCTTATATTAATAAATATAAAACCGCAAAAAATGAGCTTTATTATTTATATCTACCAGCACATGCTTTGAATATTACGCAAATTAGTGGCTCTCGATTAATGGTGATAACTAATTTGCATATTATTTGCATAAAGTATTTTTTAATAAATGAATTTTTGTTAATCCTTTTTAATCTGGTCTTTTGTAACCTTTATAAACAAGCAATTCTTTTGTTGATCGATTTTTTCTCCATTTTTAATCAATTCACCCCAAGCAAGGCGATAACGCCACTAAGACGCAAGGGGGGGCTACTTGAAGTGAAAGAGAAGGAAAAGACTTTAGAAGGAACCGGAAACCCGATAATGATATAAATTTCAGAGTTTAGGCGGAGGCGTTAGAAGTATAGAGTTGGAGTTTTTCTGTATTCCGTTCCGTATTTTGGCGGAGTTTTCTATTATGTCGAGAATCTAATCAGTGATCCATTCGTTTTTCTTCTTCTTCGTCCATTCTGCGTTGGGATGATATCGTCTGCTGATGTCACTAAAGCTTCTTAAAATGTGTCCCATTTCGAGTTTCCATTTCCATTTTGCCCCTCGAATCTACTCTTCACACTGTCCAGATATTTTTTCCTTCAGAATCAGGTCACTCCGGAGGTGGTTGTGCTGCAATTTGGGCGCTGCGTTTGGCTTCTTCAGTGTCCGTAGTTTCACTCTTCATTTACATATAACAGGTCGATGGTCACTTCCGCAGACGGCACTTGGATAGATTTTGCAGGGAACCATTGCATTCCTGAATCTTTTGTTGATAGTTCTGTAGTCAATTTGGTTTTTAGTTTCTCCTCCTAGGCCTATCCATGTCCATAATCGTCTCGGATTTTCTTGGAAACATGTGTTGGTTATTACCTGGTCATTGGCCGTGCACCATTGGACCCATTTTTCTCCACTATCGTTGCAGGTTCCTAGTCCGAATCTTCCTGCTATATCGCCTGCCTACTTTGGCGTTCAGGTCTCCCATGATAATTATGACTTCTTATGATTTGCAATATGCCTTGGCATTGTCTAACATGGAGTAGAAAGATTCGATTTCTTCTTCCTTACTTTGTGTTGTCGGTGCATTCACTATTATGATAGATACGTTGAAAGGATTTCCTTTCAGCGTAACTATCAGAATTCTTTCGGATAATTGGTAGTACCCCAAAACGCATTTCTGAATTCTTGATCTTGTATCAATCCTACTCTTTTATCATTTTTCTCTTCACCTGCATATATAATCCTGTGATTGTCACTGACAAAATCTCCTTTGCTTGGCCATCTAGTTTCACATATACCTAAAATGTTGATTTTTAGCCTACTCATCTCCTGTTTTGCATTTTCTAAATGGCCACAGTTGTTCAACATCCGAACGTTCCATGACCCGAGAATTATTTATTGTTTGATGTGAGCAATCGCAATATAACTGTCCAGTGACACCGATCGCTCATATCATTACTTTCCGGGCAAGGGATAGGTTCCAAGGACTTTTATCCCCTTTACGCCATTTGTACTAGCAGTTACCGGGCGAGGAGTTAATTCCTACAGACTTAAGCCCATTTCACGCCGTTAGGTTTCATAATGTTTGCGTTATTTGACATGATATTTCTTGGAATAATTAGCGGAGTGGTTTCCTGTTGCCTTCTCCACGGTGGTTTATGGAGACACCATCTCTAGTAAGCTTAAGTTGACTCAGGCAGTTCTTTCGCCTTTTGTTTTCGTCCTCCTGGTTCGCTAACAAGCTACCTTACTCGCAAGAACATGGAATGGGGTAGCCGGTTTAGTCGCCGATATTCCGACAGTGGAATACTTACCCTATAAAGGAACTAACAGGACAGAAGACTTGCTCGTCATCAGGCTGCATAAAATCCAAAGATGGAACGCTCATATTAGAGAAGGAAAAAGTATTCAGCGCTGGAACGAATATATTGGAGAACTCTTCCACGACGAAAGAAAACAACCGGAAACACAAGAATTACCAACAGGCCTGGAATTCTAAAAACTGAAGTAGAAGCGGCATTGGCCAAATTGAACAGAAACAAGGCGGCAGGACCAGGCGGAATAATAGCAGAGATGCTGATAGCCTTAGATGATTTCGGTATAGATAAGATTACAGAAGTAATAAATGAAATCTATTACAGCGGGGATATGCCGGAAGATCTCAGCAGATCTATTTTCATAGCACTGCCTAAGAAACCAGGCGCAAATGAATGTGAAATTCATCAAAGAATCAGCCTAATGAGCCACATAACAAAACTCATAATCTGTATTCTGATGAACAGAGAGCGTGCAGCAGAATCAGGCCAGAGATAGGACAAGAACAGTACGGGTTCGTTAAAGACACCGGAACAAGGAGAGCGATATTTATGCTAAGAATCTTATCAGAAAGAGCAATACAAATGCAAAAAGACGTGTACCTGTGTTTTATAGACTACGCAAAGGCGTTCGACAAAGTATGCCACAAAGATCTGTTGGAGCTGCTCAGCAACCTTGGCATATCCGGGAAAGACATTAGAATAATAAAAAAAATCCTTTACTGGCAATCACTTTTGTTTTTCTTTGGAGGGTTCACTATTTGCCCATAGCTGGGACCCTAACAGGTGCTACCACTCCGGGTCAGGATGGACCTGAGAACAACAGCAATTAAGAGGTGGTTCCACGTTCCTCAAACCCCACCAATCTCCCGATCAGAAGTCTTGCTGCCGGATGTAGTTTATCGTCATGCACAGGACTATGAACGGTTGTATTCTCAATAAGGCCTCTTGCATTAAACGTTGGATTCATGGCTTCAAGTGGAATTCATATATCCGATCCATTGCTAAAGATGTTGAAAAATAGTCGATTCTGTGTAGCGCTCCAATAAATACCTGACTCGTCTTGCAATGCTCTAGCTTTTCAAGAGTCAATGTTGTCAGGGAAGTCTTCGTCATCTTTGATGTCGTCGTCCACAGAGCCATCTTGTCCTTCTTCCTCAAAAAGGACGTCATCTTCATTGCCGTCCAATGATGTAATACTTCCTTAATGATTTAGCCATGATGTTTATATCTCCGGGTGCAGGCTTAATTTCGCTGCCAGATCGATGCCTTTCCGTGTCGATATGTCAGTTCATTTGCCTTAAATACCGTGCAAACTTCCAGATCATATTAAAAACTATATAAAAGTTTATTTTTAGCCGATACGAACCGGATAAGAAATTGAACAAATATAAAATTTTATTTCAAATTTAACCCCACCAAAGTGAAGCGAATGTATTATACACAAGAGCCTGTTAAGCATGAATAATTGCGCTAAATGTTGACCAAAGCAATCACAGCTCTTCCTGGAATTTGTTACTTCGTCTACAAATTTAAGACTTGAACAAAAGCTCGTGATGACGTTTACTTATTTTCACTTCACTGAGCGCGCAACGATGACTCAGAACTGACATGAACATCTGGATTTCTAGTTACGGTTTCAGCATTCGCTTACAGCCATAATTTATGTCTAAAATTGTAGGAGTGAACCTTTTACAATATATATATATATATATATATAATACTAAAAAGAAAAATAGTAGTCAAGACTAGAATCAGGCCAAAGCCTGGATATTTTTTTTAAGTGCTTAATACACAATTCAAAAAAATTGATTCTGGTAAATATATTTGTTAAAATGAGATGTCTGTTTTATTTTCATTTTTTTTTTTTTTTTTTTTTGCATAATTTAGACGACAATTTATCCATCGCACCCTGTATATGAATAGAAATGTATGTAAATATACTAATGAGCCAAAAAGAAGCCATGACCCCGGATCAGTGTAAACACCTGCTTCTTATGGAAAATGAAAGGTGAGTTATCGGAGAACGAACGGGGCAAGATAGTGTGCGCCAGATGGATGGAAAATTATGTTTCTGAAATTGTCGGTATATTTGACATACCTCAATCGACGGGGTCACGTGTGTACCGGAAATGGAAGGCATTATAACCCCCACTATGAAGGGCGTGGTCGTCAGCGACTACGGATCCTTTATGATCATAGCTCGAGGTGTTTGGCTAGAACAGTAACGGACAATCGACACTGGCTTAAATCATATCCATATTCAATGCAGTGGCACCAGCTGGTCAATTCAACGATCTTTAGCTTCTATGTGAAATAGAAACAGAAAACACCACAACACTGGGTTCGTTAAATCCGTCTTTTGATGCTTCAAGACCGGCAAACTTGATGTTAACCGATGAGTTAAAGTCCCAGATATTCCAGGCAGATGCTAAGGTTCGTAAATCCCATAAGGCCGTGGATACCAGATGCCAAGAATGCATCGTGCAGGCTGGCAGTGGTACCATAATAGCGCAGGGTATGCTATCGTGATATGGTGATTTTCTGAGCATAGCACAAGA